TTTTTTTTAATTTTACTTCTCCTTATTTTTCAAACGAGCCCGCTCGTAGCAATTCGCGACCGCCAATCACATGTCCGCAACGACTACTTACGACAAACCCCGAGCTCCTCCGAGCTCGCCCCACTTCTCTAAAAAGAACTGTTAGTCGTGCTGCCGTGCTCATCGCGTACAGTTTGTAACGTTTACAATCTTTCTTTTCTGCACTGAATAAATCTGTTCTTTTTTTATTTTTTTGCATCTCAGAGGACGTGTTTACTTTCTCGCAAACACTACCTGCCACTCCTAACAAAAATTTCATTGACTCTCAATTACGAAACGTAGACCGGTCATCTTTTGCGAGAAGATGGACAGAACAAGATAAGATTTTTGCTTTATCACTTTACAAGCGCAGTCCACGGGTATATAAATATCTGTCTAACTACTTTCAGTTACCATCTACTCGTACGTTGCAAAATATTCTTTCAAAGGTCCCTTTTGATACTGGAATTAACAAATTATTATTGCAACAATTAAAAATCAAAAGTGATGAAATGAATCCGTTGGACCGATATTGTGCTTTACTGTTTGATGAAGTATCTTTAGACAATGACTTTTATTATGAAGCTTATAAGCAAAAAATAATTGACTACGAAGACCTAGGAGAGTTGGGTCGGACAAGCAAACCTGCAAACCATGCTCTTGTTTTAATGATAAGAGGTTTACGGAAATCCTGGAAGCAAGTTGTAGCTTACTATTTTACTACAATTTCTTGTCTGAGTCTTAAGGCTATAATAAAGAACGTAATTTCTGAACTACAAAAAATTGGAATAATAGTAAAAGCAACAGTTTGCGACCAGGATTCCACCCAAAGAAGGGCTATTACAGAGCTGTTTGCCGAAAATCAAATTGACCCAACTATGTACACTTTTACTATCAATAATGAAACAATAGTGATGATTTACGATGTCCCTCACTTACTCAAATGTACGCGAAATGCATTACTAAAATGTAAAATTAGATTCGAAAATAATAAAATTGCAAAATTTGAACATATAAGAACAATTTTCGAAATAGACCAGACGAGACCATTTAAACAATTACACAAACTGACAGTACAAGATTTTAATTTCAAAGATAGTTTCATAAAAATGAGGGTTAAAATTGCTACACGGCAATTGAGTGCGACTGTTGCTGCAGCAATTAATTCCATGACAGCTTGTGAAATTATGCCTTCTGCAGCACTGGATACGGCAATATTCGCTCAATTAATTGACGATCTCAATACAAGATTTTAATTTCAAAGATAGTTTTATAAAAATGAGGGTTAAAATTGCTGCACGGCAATTGAGTACGACTGTTGCTGCAGCAATTAATTCCATGACAGCTTGTGAAATTATGCCTTCTGCAGCACTGGATACGGCAATATTCGCTCAATTAATTGACGATCTCTTCGATTCTTTAAATGGTCACAAGCGATACAACGATGACAATAAAATGTATAGAACCGTGCTAAAAGATGGCTCTCCTTATATCAAGTTATGGAGCAAATTATTATCTGAAATGAGTGCGTGGAAACTGATTGATTAGTCTTCTGTAGCACTGGATACAGCAATATTCGCTCAATTAATTGACGATCTCTTCGATTCTTTAAATGGTCACAAGCGATACAACGATGACAATAAAATGTATAGAACCGTGCTAAAAGATGGCTCTCCTTATATCAAGTTATGGAGCAAATTATTATCTGAAATGAGTGCGTGGAAACTGATTGATTTGAACAATGAAAAAGATGTCACAAATACTTATTTCTTTGTGAAAAGCTAGATAATAACAATTCGAGCGGTTATATATTTTATGGGAGCAATTACAGAAGGTAAGTTTTCATTATTTAATTTTGAGGAACTTGAATGGCTCTCCTCATATCAAGTTATAAAGCAAATTATTATCTGAAATGAATGCGTGGAAACTGATTGATTTGAACAATGAAAAAGATGTCACAAATACTTATCCCTTTGTGAAAAGCTGGATAATAACAATTCGAGCTGTTATATATTTATGGGAGCAGTTACAGAAGCTAGGTTTTCATTATTTAATTTTGAGGAACTTGAATCAAGATCCAATTGAAAACCTATTTTGTAACATTCGACAACATGGTATTCAGAATTCCAATCCCACTTGCCATCAGTTCACTGCCGCATTAAAAACAGTCGTTTTAAATAAGTTAGTCGCACCAGTGTCGAGAGTTGCAAATTGTGAAGACGACAATTGCAATAATTTAGAAAATTTTGGACATTTTTTGAGGACGGTTACTACCGAAAACATACAACTCAATGAAACTGAAACATTCAAGAATGTCGAGTCACCTATTGAATGAATCAGTTTCGAAGAATTGAACATTGAGAAAAGTCTGTCACTGTCATATGTGTCAGGTTACATCCTTAAAAAAGTTAAATTTCCAGATGAAAATTGTGAATGTTGTCAAAATGACTTATTTGTGTCGCAACAACATCATTTGTTCACGATGTTCAAAGAACATGGATCAACTGACTCGTTAACATATGCGAGTGATCAGGTCATTACATTAGTACAAAACCTCTATATCAGGCTGTATCGTTTCTTAGACACGAATGGCCATAAGTTGCGATTGGAGTCCACTTTTAAGACTGATTTTTACGAAAATTATAACAGCACTTTCTGCGAAGCACACAAATGTGATCGATTAATTGTTAATAAAAGTGTCACGTTTTTAATATTTAAGTAATGTATCGTTTCTTAGATACGAATGGCCATAAGTTGCGATTGGAGTCCACTTTTAAGACTGATTTTTACGAAAATTATAACAGCACTTTCTGCGAAGCACACAAATGTGATCGATTAATTGTTGATAAAAGTGTCACGTTTTTAATATTTAAGTATGTCAAAGATCGTAAGAAACCAAAAGAACGAACCTCCGGATACTATGAAAAAATAAAACAGTTAAAATCTACATAATTCGAGTCAAATTTTCTATTGAATTTTCAATTCGTGCTATGTTCCGTGCTTTCAAATCCGAATATTTCTTCTGGTTTCTTATGAGTAAACTGAGCCACAAAAATGGGCCACAATTTTTGCGAGTTTTCATATTTTATTGCTACTTGCATATAATATGCTTCTTTTATCTTTTCCTTTTTGTCGTGACTGCTAAAGGATAACAGGGAAGAATAACCTGAGCGTATTATATGTATAATAGATAGCAAGTACAAGGGCTTTATTTGTTTTATACTTCAGGATCGACAACAATATTGTATGTCTTCACATATCGCCATACTTATTCTATCTCTGAAAAGAAGATTACTCTTCGAGATACGATACTCGGGAGATAACGCGGTGGCAAGAATGCCATCTATTGGTTGAGTGAGAGAGTGTGTCTTTGGAGATCGATTCTGTATCTTCAAACAAGGTGAAAATTACAAAAGTGAGCAAATTTACTAGGTGTTGACCAATGAAATTATCAGTATTCTAGTAAATTCGCTCACTTTTGTAATTTTTACCTCGTTTTGAGATACACAATCGACCCCCTGGATGTGCAACTACTGATTACAATAATTCTCCCACACATAAAAAAAACGTTAATACAAAAAGAAAAGCAACAAATATCTGGCAGTTGTCTACTTTAAAACATAGTCATTCAGATGTGATGGCACTCAGTGTGATCGTTGGGGCCGTTGGGTAGTATTTGATAAGGAGTCCGGTCTGACTTTTGCCTGATCTTCCGGTGCTGACTGGTTTCTTTCGGTTGGAACGATTTGTGGAGCGGTCTTCGGGAATTCCATATAATGACCCAATTCTGTAGATATGCTTCAATTTGGATCTTCTTTCTCCTTGTTCTCTTCTTCTCCTTTTGTCAGGAGAAAATGTGACTTTCTTTTTTACTTCAGTTCTGCGTAATTGATCGATATGTCTCTTGAAAATGTATCCATTATCGAATTTGATGAGGTAGTGAAGTTGACCAAACTTCCTGACAACTGTCCCAAATTTCCATACAGGTTTTAGGTTTGTATAATAACGTGCCTGTATTCTTTCTCCAATCGATAGACTGCGGATACCTGGAATTTTTTTGCAGTTGACAATATTCTTCATTGGCTCGAGGATATCCAAATTAATTCGAAAGTCGCGATGGAGATAAAGTTCCGCCGGAGATTTCCCACATGCGAGCGGCGTAGCTCTATATTTGAATAAAATTTATCGAACTTTTTGAGTTAGTATAAGAGGTTCCTCTTGCATCGACTTCAAAGTTGTTTCAGTGTTTGAACATTCCTTTCAGCAAGACCATTCGTAGCAGGATGACCTGGAGCTATCAATTTCTGGAAAATGCCGCTTCTACGACAGAATTGTTTAAATGTTTCACTGACAAAAATTGTTGCATTGTCAGATACCATCGCTTTTGGAAATCCACGAGTTGAAAAGATGTCTTTTAATAATTCTACAGTCTTTTCTGATATCGGTGCATCTTTGATGATTCGTATTTCAGCCCATCTTGAACGAGCACTTATTACAATTAGAAAATAGTGATTTTCAATTGGTCCTGCATAGTCTATGTGGATACGGTCCCAATTAGACGTTGGCTCTTCCCAATGGTGTACTGGAGCTTTTGCTGGGCTACTTTTTACTTCTGCACAATTTTGACAGGATTTTACTGCGTTTTCGATGTCTCGATCTATTCCCTTCCAGATACAGTAGCGACGTGCAAGCTGTTTCATTTTTGTAATGTCGACATGTGTTTTGTGTAATTCTTCGAGAATTTTTGATTGTAGCATCTTAGGAATGACCGCGCGTTGACCTTTGAATAGTATTTCGGCTTCAAGTGTGTATTCAATATTATCAGTTTCACCATTAAGTAAGGCCTGTTTGATTTTCGAAAGGACTTCATCCTTATCAGTTTCTTGAACAATTGTTTTAGTAGTAAGTTCTTCAGTTGAAATTTCGAAAATGGTTGAATAACAAAGTTGATGAACTTCATTGATGGCAATATCGGTCGAATAATACTTTTGATGTATTGGAGCTCTGGATAAGCAGTCTGCATTAACATTTTCATTTCCTTTTTTATATTCAACTTCATAATCAAATCCTGATAGGAACGATGCATATCGAAGTAAGCGAGCTGAAGTCATCGCTGGCAATTTATTATTTTGATGAAATATTCTAGTGAGAGGTCGATTATCCGTTATCAATTTAAATTTGTATTCGAATACATGAAGAAGTGATTGACTGCAAATACGATTGCAAGAGCCTCACGGTCAAGTTGACTGTAATTCCTTTCCGCTGGCGTTAACGATCTGGATGCAAATGCAATAGGTTTCTCGATACCGTTAAGGACATGCGACAGGATTCCTGCAATGCTTGTCGGACTGGCGTCACATGTAATAATTAATGGAGATTCTGGATTATAAGGCGTTAATATTCGATCACTTGAAATTTCATTCTTGAGTTTCGAAAATGCGTCTTCACAAGCCTTGGTCCATTTGAATGTTGAGTTTTTAACAAGTAGTTTCCTTAATGGGTAAGTAATTTTCGATGCATCCGGGATGAATCTTGAGTAGTATGTTACCATACCTAGAAAATGGCGTACATCATCAACAGTGGATGGTCTAGTTATGTTGACAATGGCTTCAACTTTTTTGGGGGATTTTAAAATTTTGTTGAATCCAATAGTATGTCCAAGGTATTTGATTTCTTCTTGGAAGAATAAACATTTACGTCAATTAAGATGTAAGTCATATTTCTTTAGACGCTGTAAACAAGCATATAAATTTTGCTGATACTCTTCCTTAGTAGATCCATGGACGATTATATCATCGAAATACGATAGCGTTTTATTGAGGCCAGACAAAATTTGATCTATGATGCGATTAAATTCTGATGGAGCTGTTTTAATGCCGAATGAAAGCCTGTTCATTCGGTACGTACCTCGGTGGGTTGAGATAGTTTGTACTTCACTGCTCTCTTTATCGACTTTCAAGTGTAAATACGCTTTAAATAAGTCAAGACGGCAAAAGAATCGTGAATCCCGTAAACTATTTAATATCTCATCGATTCGTTGAATTGGGTAATTAGCTGAAATTAGCCTCTGGTTGACTCCCATTTTGTAATCCACACATAAACGGACACCCCTATCGGTCTTAGGAATAACAACCAATGGTGATCCCCAGTCGCTTAAAGTTATTTTTGAAATAATGCCTGCTGTTTCAAGGTCGTCAAGTTTCTTTTCAACTTTTTCTTGCAATGCGTAAGGTATTTCTCTTCCCTTATGGAAAATGGGTTTTGAGCCTTCTCGCAATCGAAGTGAAATTAGAAATTCTGGCACACATCCTACTTTTTCTTCAAAAACATCTGGAAAATGGTCGATAATATCTTGAATATTATTGATTGTTTGAATTTGTGGATTGATGGTGTTGATTCTCAATTCTTTATCAATTTCCTAGAGATTTATGTTTAGATTACGAATCCAACTTCTTCCTAAGAGTGGTGACATGTTATCTGGAACAATGTAAATACATTTTTTCAAAAGATACTTTATCTTTATAACGAACTTCAACTTTAATTTCTCCATCTGAAAGAAATACATTATTTGTATATGATCGGAATACAATAGCTGTTGTTCGTAGTTTATTGATTAGATTCAATTTTTTGAATTCTTTTCGTGGAAGCAATGTAACTCCTGCACTAGAATTGACTTCGAATGTTTGAGGTTGTCCTTCAATAACAACTGTAGTAAAATACTTCTTGGAATTGTCGCGTTCTGAACCTTGATTATCATATAAATCAATAATATGATTGACTCCATAATCTGATATTTCTTCCTGTATACAGTTAGTTGATTTCGTGTTAGATGTATTTGTTTCATTAGTGTTCAAAAGTGAACGTATACATACCTTAGAAAGATGACCCGTTTTATCACATGCAGTACATTTAAGAGTTGACTTGTTTATTCAGCAATCCTTTGCAACGTGATTACTGTTACCGCAACGTAAGCATAGACCTTCGATTCCCAGTTGTCTGTAATCAATTTTTGATTTGGATCTGGATTTATAATTTTTATGTCTACCAGGGCTTTTTGCGTTGAATCTTTGATTTGATGTCGAATTATCACGTCTGGACTTCCGCTGCTTTGTTACTTTTTTAACATCTTCAGTGTGATTAGCTGATCGGAGGCGGTTGATTCTTTGAGAGTTCGCGACTGTCAATCTTAGAAGCTTTCAGTGCGAGAGCCTTTCCTGTGATCTCTGTGAATGTTGATGCACCAGATTGAAGTAATTGTTCACGAATAGTGTTGTCTTTTATACCTCTAATAAATTGGGCACGTAAAAATATGTCTGAAATTGAAGTTTTACAGTTACATGGTGAGACAAAATCACAATCACCTATGTCTTGACGTAAGAGTGCTATGTATTCAGCGATCGATTGATTTTCATTTTGATACGTCGAAAGAAATCGATGTTGTGCTACTAAGATGTTCTTCTTTGGGCATAAATGCTTTTCTAAGATTTCCATTAGGTTAGAATATTCTAATGTGTTAGGTAGACTGGGTGCAACTAATGCTGATAACGTATTGTAATATGTCGCACCAATAGAATTAAAGAGCATTTTTGTGCAAAATACCTTGTCTGTAGATATGCCTTTCATTTGCAGATAATTTTCAAATCGCTGGCGATAGTACCTGAAGCTTTATTTCTTGGAGTCGAAATTTTCGAATGGTGGTAAAAGCGCAGCATTGATTGCTGGTTGTTGTTGTCGAGATGAGGTTACCTGATTGATCAATTGCTGCTGGTTGTAATTCATCAGTTCGATAATGTGTTGAAATTGTGTCGCATCCATTTTTGACTGTTTCTTGGCACTACTTTATGTGAGTAATATAATGTCGAATTGTTTCATCTCGTCGCCAAAATTGTCGTGACTGCTAGAGGATAACAGGGAAGAATAACCTGAGCGTATTATATGTAGATAGCAAGTAACGGCTTTATTCGTTTTATACTTCAAGATCGACAACAATATTGTATGTCTTCACACAAGAAGACTAGAACTAAGGAGGATCAACTCGTGCCAATAGCGGTAGTGAGGCAAAAAGTGGCGACGGATAACTTCCCCCACTCTTGCGCTTCATTAGTCCTCTCTGTCGCTCTATATAGTCGTCGCTCTGTCGTTCTATAATCGTCACTTTGTCGCTCTTATATTGAACTTTCACACAATGCGCAGTGCCGCTGCACATTGTGTGAATAACTGCGGACGTTTTTTTGACTCACCCCCACCACACGAGTTGATCCTCCTTAGTTCTAGTCTTCTTGTCTTCACATAGCGCCATACTTATTCTATCTATGAAAAGAAGATTACTCTTCGAGATACGATACTTGGGAGATAACGCGGTGGCAAGAACGCCATCTATTGGTTGAGTGAGAGAATGTGTCTCTGGATGTGCAACTACCGATTACAATACTTTTATTTTAAGTTTCAAACCAGAATATTTTTGGCTAATATAATCGAAAAGTACGCCTCATAGGGAACCGGTACTTTCTATCGCGTACATACAATACGCGTTTGTACAAATTTAGAAGAAGAAAGTCTGATTTATATAATGGCCGTAACCGTTAACTTATGCCGGTGCCGGTAAAGTTCAACCATAGGATTTCAATGCTTTCGTTCATACTAACTTGCCGTATTAGGGCCACTGTAGATTACGAAAACCAATCGCAAATTCGTTTAGCATTTCTGTTAGAGTGTACAACAGAAATTTTAATCAGCAATTGGTTGCATTAGTTCCGCATTTCTCTAATCTTCTGCGAAATACGCCCAATGTGAATGCCGGCTTTCAGAATGGCGTATTCTAGTAAATAAAAAATAACGTATTCTAGTAAATTACTAGGTTACGCTTACGCAGGTTACGCCGCATGTGAGGGTGCAGTCCCATGGAGCATATCGCGCGTATCGCGGATCGCGCGTGTCGAAAATCTGACCAATCGTGGACGTTCCGCTATTTTCGATACGCCGCCGTTCCGCTGAATCCATTATTGTAGCGTAATACGCGCCGAATTTAAGTAAAATCGCTTGGTCTAAAGAAGTAGTGTCATATGGCAGCCCTCGAGATGTGATATGCGTAGAATCGCAAGATTGCGTCGAAAATTGTTGCATCGTTTTTTTGGAAAGCATTGCCGGTTTCGATTGTGCCTTATACGACTAGCTGCGTTTACCTCGTCAACGAGAACCTGAGTCATTTAAACTCAAAGAAGAAGCTCTATCTGAAATAAAAAAGAAGACAGTGAATATCTTTCACGATTCACGAATTCACGATCTTGTTGCTCCAGTTCATTAACGAGATTATTGCTTGCTCCTTGTGCTAACCATCGTTCAATAGTAAATATTCGACTGACCCAATATTTTCGTTTTCTTCTATTAATAGGTTTGTTCTCACTTTTTCTTAATATAGAATAAAGCTCATATGTTTTAATAATTTTATGATATATTTCCTGCTTGATGAAAGCATTGTGGTTGTGGTCTAGACGTTTTGTTAATAACAACAAAAGCAATATTGTTTTTTATTTTATTCTACACTTGTTAAACCATTGCGAATTTTTTAATTTAATAAATAATAATAAGACTGTAAGTGTATAAAACAAAATAGAATAATTGAAGGGCTAAGAGCCAGTTATGTAATAAAGAACATTTAATAAAGATATTATAATTGAAATAATCATGATTATAACGCTTCATTTCGACCGCGTATATAAAAATAATAAATAATAAAAGACTCTGTAAATATAAAACAAAATGAAATGTTATAATCATGATTATTTTAATTATCTTTATGTTTTAAATTAAACGTTCTTTATTACATAACTGGCTCTTAGCCCTTCAATTGTTCTATTTTTAAAAAAATTTAATTATATTAAATAAATTAATATTTAATATAATTTACTTACACAATATGGTTATTTACTTTTTACGGCTATCCTCTTTTTTCTGCGGTCCTACAGTAATTCGTCCGCAGAAGTCAGTTTTGTTCCGCTATTTTCGATACGCGATAATTTCGTTCCTATGGTCCCATGAAGCGGAATTAACGTAAACGGATCGGCGGTTTACCAATCATACAACTGTTTAGATGAAGGCAAATAAAGAAAAATAACAAAACTCGTTTTATGATTGACTATCCGCCTGATCCGCTTACGCGAATTTCGCTCCATGGGACCAGAGGAACGAAATTTTCGCGCATCAAAAACAGCGGAACGTCCGCGATTGGTCAGATTTTCGATACGCGCGATCCGCGATACGCGCGATACGCTCCATGGGACTGCACCCTGATGACAACCTTAGAAATACATATTCTTTCAGGGGCTGCACACAATCAAAGGAATAAGGAACAGGAAACAAAATAAGAATTTAACCTATCAGAAACTATGTATTTTATAATATGTAATACATGATTTGTGATAAGTTGAAATTCTTATTCTTTTTCTTGCTTCTTATTTCTTTGATTGTGTGCAGTCCCGTATGAATAAGTAGATCTATATATTATGTATGATATATATATAGTATTTAATAATTCATGTCCTAACCACCGCGAGCGTAACGATCGACTTTGTCTCCTTTCATTTAACACTGGCTAC